TTACCAAAAGGGAAAATTATTTTTCTCTACCAAAGATTAACCAGGATGACTACTGTGAGGAACTGGATTAAGAAGCAGAGAGATTTTTTTAATACACAAAATTTTCTATGGAACATTCATACCTCTAGGAATGGTTTCCAGATGAGATGGAGCAAGTGTAATAATTTCAAGGGCCCACAACTTTTCATAAATAGACTTCATGAGACACTCAATGTCAGCATGTTCTAAGGTAGCCCTGGGCTTTCTGTAGTTGACCTGTGGAGTTTCCCATCTTGTTTTACCAATTAGAATTTTAGAGTCTTAGTCCAATTCACTTCTTTGTTGATGGAGACACCAAAGGCCAAACTCAAAGGTTTTATTCAAAGTCACAGATAAGACTTGAGAAAGTCAGTCCTACAAATAACTTTTAATGACAGTCCATGTCTTCATTCCTCAAAAATTTATTCATCACTTACTATGTGCAAGATACTATGAGAAGCCTGAGGGTATGTAAAGAAATACCACCATCAAAGAAATAGTTTTTGCTTCCCTGAGCTATGTGACGTGCTTTCCATTAGTCACAGAGATTTTCCCGTTTCAGTGGACAGATCTGGAGACTATAAATAAGAAATGTCGAAATTTAAAGACTAAAAATTCTTGAATATGAATTCAAGTATGGAGTAAATCGCATGGTATCTTATGTTAATAAGTAAATTCTTATTACTTTTATCTGTTTTATGTAACTATTGCTTTTTCTGACATATTGTTTGGCTTAAAAATGTTCTTATAATGTTTATTTTTCAATGTTTATTTTTCAATACAAAGATCACACAATTTTCTGCATAAAAGTGGTGTGTCAAAAACTACAAATGCTGCTCTTTAATTTTTGAAAACCCTATTGGTCTAATATGCCAATCAGTGCTTATTACAGGTATGAAAGCCTTTCCTCCAGAAATGTAATGAGCTTGGTTTTTTTGGCTTATTGTACGCAAAATAAAAAGAGATCGTTTAATCTGAAGAGTTTCAACTGCAAATAGTTTTTAATTTGCAGAAATAGTGGTCTAAAAATGTTATTTAAAGATTACCCCATGCCCACTCTAATTGGTTTTAATTTCAGAAATACTACAATGAGGAATTCGAAAATAATTCACTGAGCAAATGATGCTTTGGTTTAGCGCTGAGAAATGAATCCAGTTAAGTAGTCTAGGAAGGAGACAGGAGGATGTTAATGATTTTGATTTTATAAAAACTACATAGGAAATGCAAAATTTTTAAGCAAAGGATGAGAAAATTAGATCTACCTTTGATCTGAATCTTTGAACTTACTGTTCTGGATGCATTGGTTAGAACTGAATGAAGGCAATACATTTACTAAAGCCAGATAGGACAGAGAAAAGCAAAGTGAATGGATGGGAGGGACTTTGGAGGTATAGGCAAAGAATTCTGTGAAGGCAAAAGGAAAATCATCACAGATTATTCCCAAACTTTTGATGAAGACATCTTGATTGCTAATGGTATCAGAATCAAAGATTGGAAACTATGGAAGAAACCCAGGTTTAGACTTGGAGGAGGAAGATATAATGAATTTATTTCTAATACACTAGTTTTGAGATACTTTTAAGATGATGTATTTTAAAAATCCATTAAAAAAAAACACATACCCTTTGACCAAACTCATTCCAGACTTCTATGACTCTGGAATACAGCCTAAAAAAGTATTGTAAACTATGAGAAATCTAATGGCTAAGAATATTCATGGCAGTATTTTTTATTAATAGAAAAAGTGGAAATAAAGTTAATGTTCAAAAACTGCGGCTTTATTTAATACACTTTTATATACCTATTAAATGCAACATCATTTTCCTACTTATGTGGTTGTTTTAAAACCTATTTAGAGACACCTACGACACCAACTATATAATGTTATATAAAAACAGTTAAAATACACTGCTTAAAATTATAACAATGTTTATGAAATAAGGAGAAAAACTATGAAATTGCTTCATAAATGTTAGATGTATAGTTGTGTTTATATATGTTTATTTAAAAACTAGTAACATGCTTATAATATTCATTTTTAATTGCAAATTTAGGTGCAGGTTTTTTTCAGAACTTTAGTTTGTCAGCTTGTTTGTTTATTTAAGTTAACAGATGAATACAAAAAATATAAATGGTACATGTCAATGGGGAAGTATATACTCTTTAAAAATATATATATATGTTCTCCTTTTATTTTCTAAAATTAAAAAATTTTTTAAAAATTAAAAAATAAAAAATAGAGATAACAATATGCAATGTATGAAAACATATATATATATGATAATGTTTAAATTAGGGTAAATACATTTATCTCCTCAAACATTTCTCATTTCTACATGGTTAAAATTATAAATCCTTTCTTCTAATTTTTAAAACGTACAGTACATACCTGTTATCTGAAGCCTCCCTAAGGTGCACAGCACTCCAGCAGCCCTTGCTCCTACTTAACTGTATCTTAGCACCCAGTCATCGACCTGTCTCCATCCCTCCACCTTCCTGAGCTCTCCAGCTATGGCAGCTCCCATTCTACTCTCAATTTTTAGGAGCTCCATTTTTCGATTCCACATATGAATGGCATCATGGGAGATCAGCCTTTCTGTGTCTGGTTTATTTCACTTTAATTTCCATCTATGGTGTTGCTGAAAATGACAGGATTTTCATCTTTTTAAGGATGAATACTGTTCCTTTGTGCATCTGTACTACATTCTCTGCCCATTCCAAAGCTGGTGAACGTTTCGATTACTTCCAGTTCCTCGCTGCTGTGGACAGCGCCGCAGTGGAGGCAGCAGTGCAGATGTCTCTTCCACGGGATAATTTCACTTCCTGTGGGTGCAGATCCAGCAGATGGACTGCCGGACCCTACAGGAGTTCTACTTTTAAATTTTTAAGGATTGTATTCTTCTTCCTAAAGTTGTAATATTTAACACTTGTAACTTTTTGCCCAAGATTCGTATTCTTCCAACCCTTAAGGTGTTGATTTTATGCCATTGAGGTATAGGTTAATCTACTTACACTCATACATAGAACAAAGTGTCTTCATGTTAAAAACAAATCTTAGCTACCTTTAGGTCCACTGAAATTAATTAATTCTGTTGATTCATTCATAAGGTTGATAAGCATGGAATTCTCATAAACTAAAAGATCTGAGCTCCACGTACTGCATAGACTTTGGGGCAAAGTGTTGCATCATTCAATGTAGCAGTCTCAAGCGAGACATGTTTTCAAACTTAAAAACTATATTTTTTAGTTGTAAAGAATTTGAAATGAAGGAATAGGAATAAGGAATTTGAAATAAATAATGAGGAATAAATAAAAATCTGAGCTACATTTTAAACCGTGTGGTACTTTGCTATACTAAGTGAGAATTTGACATTTTAATTAGATATTGTGTCTTTAAATTTACTAAATGAAATACTAACTCAACTTTACTGCTATTTTTCCTAAATTTATTAACACCAATTTTATTATTTTACTTCATCAGTTAGCACAAGTAGTTTATCATTGTAAATTTCCATTCTTTAGAACAGATATTTTAATGTAATAAAAAATCATAATGCAGTTTTCCCACTTTAAATATACCATTAATTTTATAGTCTTTGATAAGCTAACTTCACTCAAAAGCAAAAACACAAATTTTAGTGAGCTTTCATAAGCAGTTGACGTCACATAACTAGTTATGAAGACAGTGACCAAGAGTTGGAAGGTTATTATGACCAAGGAACATTTAGTAATTTATAAAGTATAAAACAGTAAATTCAATCTTTAAGAGACATTTTCTATATTTCTGTATAAATGTTCTAAGTTTGACGTCCTTTTTACACACATGCACAAATTTTTAATTACCTTTACTCAGAGCAGAGTTCTTTGGTCAGATTGTAGCGTTGTCTACACAATGCTATTAAAAAGTATCTTGTAGATTGACCCAAATAAAAAATATGGAAGAATATGATGCAATCACTAGATCCCATTATCTTGAACCGAGGAAGAATAATTATTAACTGGCTGGCTGATTATTCAATGTATTTCAAATAACAGATGGACAAATGAGTTAAAAGCTGATACTACTATGCATTACATATGTATCAAAAATCTGAGTGTCTGATCATTTCTAAATTTAGAATATCTTGATGCACTATTAATCCAGATAGTTTGGAAGCTCTAAAACATCAAGATGATTACTGATGCTTATAATGCAAGGGAAGAAGCAAAGGAGAAGGAAGAGGAGCGATCAGTACTGACTACAATGGTGGTAAAGATATAATGAAATTCAGCTACTGACACAAGATTCTGCATTCTATAATTACTAGTGCTGATCAAAATTATGAAAACCATGTTAAAATATAGTTGTAATGGATGCGTGCTTTGGAATTTGTGGTATAATACATTTAAAAAATCACGTGTTAATTGGTTGACTAAGGCAAACAGAACCTACTTTCCACTTTTCCCTCCAATGAAAGGAGTAAATTATGAGTAAGTTTGAAAGTACAATTTAGTGTTTTTAATGATGATCCTCCAAACTAGAAAAGTAACTTAAGTGTAATATAGTTAAATTATATTTTTAATAGATATTAAATGTTATTACCGTTATTCACTCCAAATTTTAGTTCATATAATGGACACCTGTACTGATAGAAAAACTGACCAAAAAGTTGAATACTCAAAAATAAGGCCTACAATATTTGATAGTTGTTTATGAAAAATAGATCTCAATTTTATTTAATACGGGGGCTCCTTCTTATTCCCTTACTTCATTCTTATATATGCACAGATTTTGTAAAATTAGTGTTATTTCATCAATTTCCTTTCTATATATTTTACAAAGCTAGAATAAAGTAAACTCATTTCAACTTATTTAAGCAATTTATTTAAACATTATGTCATCTGTACTTTGTATATTTTGTCAGCAAATGACATAAGCAGGCACATGACTGGTAATCACAAAAAATAATTTGCACAATTTAAAAGTATTTTAATGTACTTACTTGAAGTAAAAGAATATGCCAAGTGAGATAACCAGGGATGCAATAGATAATCCATGTCCAATTATAGTCAGGTAGAACAAATTCAGTGCAGTCTGTAATTTGCATAAGTAGATAAAATTAGACCATTAAAAATATTATACATTATCTAGCATGGTACAAGTATAAGACCTAAAATGGAATTGAAAATATTCTGATTTTAAAAACATCTGACCTTGATAGCCTTAAAGTGATTTCCTTAAAGCCAATAAATACTTGAATATAACTGGGATGAAGGACATCAAACTTTATAAACCATATGCCTTTTAAGAAGTTAGAGTCATATGTTAAATCTATGAAGTATTGCTTATTGGTCTAGGTTAGATGATACATGAAGCTAGAACTTTATATTTAAACTCAAATAGTCCCTGATAACAAGCCTTGTTCAGACTTAAACGCCAGCTAGAACTCTCTTTCTCAATTGGATTTCCCTTTTTCTTTGACCCATATGCAAGTCTTATTGTTGTCACTTAAAAGATCCTATGATCTGTACAAATGCTTTATCTTTTTCCTCTTTTCTATTTTGTATTTTTCAACCTATCAGTTTGTGGTATATTTTTGTATTTCTCTTCCCATTCTTGTCTGAATAAAGAAGGAATATATAATTTATAAAAATGATACCTGGAAGCTATCAAGAGCTTACTTCTCTGCTAGTCTTCTGTTATCCTTGCATTAAATAAAATCTCATGAAAGCCATTGTGAAATCTATTGTCATCGCATTTCGTACATGGATGGACCCAGCCAAAGAGACATGAAATATCTTGCATTTCACACAGTGGGTACAAAGCAGAAACAGGAAATCACATCCCAGGACTTGGTTTTAACCACTGTGACAAATTGCCTGAATATACAGACACAAGTGCAAAAATAACAGGCATTTTCTGTAATGCTTTCTTATGGTGACCAACTCTAATTTAGTGCCTTCTTTTCAGACAAGATCGGGCGCATTCAGGGTGGTATGGCCATAGACTAGTGCCTTATTTTCAGAGTGGGAACATGAGCGAGCAATCTGACTCCCAGTCAGAATGGAAGCTTTCTCCTGAGGGACAGATAGTACTGTTTAAGCCCTACTGAGCTTATCCTGTTTATCTAACCACAATTTCTGAGGTAATTCTAGACCTCTTCCACAAGGGAAAGTTATCCCTTTCCTTACACTCTTAAGGTATGTTTTCTTTGGAAACTCTGAAACCCCAGTACTGAGACATTGACTTGTAAATACACTATTACTTAACAGATGGCTTTCTCCGTGTAATGATGGAATCAGTAATAATTCGTTCCACACTTATTTTTCTTCATTGTTCTTCTCAAATTATATTATGAAATGGTTTTGTAACAGAATGGAAATTGACCAAATTTTCTCTGATATTGCATTAGACAACTCGTTGCTAAAACAGATCGTGTAAATTAAGTTTCAGTCCACGATGATGACACACCTTCACTTTGTCGGGCGTGTTAATATTACACTGGGTATAGTTTGTCCACGTCCTGTTGCTTTCTGGGTGTCTAAACCAGTTTCCATCTTGATCACAGATTTTTGTAACTTTCTCTGTAAAATGAGAAAGACAACCATAAGTTCATTAGCCTAGGGCTGGCTAAACACATGTCAAGGAGATTTTTACATAAGTTTCTGCTTTCACCTGAAGGATCAAAATCTTGAAAGTAATCAGGGCAGTGTTGCATGGATTCAGTTCCTGCCGCTACGTCATTCCAGCAGAGCCAGCCATCCCAAGTTCTGTTGCAGTAAGCGCCTGAAAAGGAGGGGAAATGCGGGGTAACTCACTGGTCCCATTGCACAGGAAGACATAGTGTGAAGGAGTGGACGTGGACTGACTCACTGACATGGAATAAAGCCTCTCTATTGAAAATGAAGATATTTCTATCTCTTCCTTTTCTTTTCAGATCAAGTAGAATACTTAATAGCCTCACACATCCAAGCTGGGGATATAGCTCAGTAGTGTAAGCGCCTGCCTGGCAAGCACAAGGTTGTAAATTCAATTCCGACTACCAAAAAAAAAAAAAAAAATAGCCCCACACATCTCTCCAATGTTAAGAGAGAAAACCTTTTCTATTAAAAATATAAGTGAAGTAATATAGACACACAAGCTTAACTACTTAATGGTGTCTTGTGTATGAAAATTTCTATCTACATGTATATCAAAATAAAAGACAGGCAATACACAATGAGAGTGAAAAAATTATTTATTGTAATCCAGATGGAAAATGTATCTAAACATGTACCTTGACTTAGTACAATTGTCTTACATATTTTATATGTTCTTTGGCCTGGTCATCTGGTTTTTAATCTGTATATATGATAATTAACTTTATAAGTGCTTATAGGAGAAATACATGAATCCAGTGCTGGAAAAATAAAAGGAAGGTGAAAGAACGGAAAATAAATAAGACTTGAAATGTGCTGTGTATTCGTACTAACTCCTTATAGTGAATGTAATTGTTGTATACTGAAAACATGTACTACTAAAAATTAAAAAAGCTTTTTTTTAAGAGGCTTTTTTTGGGTCTTTTTTCCTACTATTTTCTTTTTTGGTACCAGGAATCGAACTTAGGGCCTCGCATTTACCAGGCAAGCTCTGCACCGCTGAGCTACATCCCCAACCCTAAGAAAGCTATTTTTAACATAAAAATTAAAAATGAGCATAGCTTTTTAAAGGTATAGAGAAACTAACTGTTTATTGTTCCAGTATTTTAACAGTCTCTGATCAAAGAAACTTTGTAACATTTTTTAAATAGAACCCTGAATGCTACCTGAGGTATGTATTAATTTTAATAGATTGACACAGCAATTTTGAAATTAAACTAGCGCTCCTTCCAGAAAACAGAAAAAAAATCCTGATGTCTTGAAACTCTAAATGACCACAATTTTTCAAAAAACATTTCAGATCAGATAATCACAATTTTCTCTCCTGTGGCTTTTACGCAGTTAAGTAATTTGCAAATATATATTACTTGGTAAAATAAATTTTGTGGTTTAGCAGAAAAATTTTCTTCTAATAGTTTTAGAAAACATTGCAAACATACCCAATCACTGTCGGAAAAAATTCTAATTAACTTCAACAGTGGCAGCATTACAGAATGTGAAGTGTAATATATTTCAAATTGTGTTTTATGGCATCTAGTAAGATATGAGCGGGATTACATTTTAAAAATTTATGTAGTCAAATTAATTTCAGAAAAACAAAATTAAAATACATATTTTATTTTAAAACCCTTCTAAGACTATTATGCATATTTACTACATATTGCATATAGCTAGCAGAGGTTAATTCATTACTTTATACTAATGATACTTAGATTTTAATGGAATACAGTGAAAAACTTATCAGTTAACACAGAGTATGTATACTAGTATTTCAATTACTTGATAATTCAACTCCTGCTGTCTTAAATTAGATAATTTGTCACTGTTCCACATATTTTAAGTTATCCTTTTTTGTGACTAATATAACAAAAATATAGATGGACTTATAACGTTTACATAGTAATCCAAAAGTCATCCAATTATATTGTTGAGTTGAAAGGAGTTTAAATTTATTCTATGTAAAAAAAAAACAACAAAACTGTTTTCTTCTTTTACAAGCAGAGTCATTTGGATATTTATCAAGGTTAATTTTCTAGCATTTCATTTATATACAGTTTAATAAAATGTCAATTATTTTTTCAAATATTGTCAAGTTTTTTCCCTCTGGTGCTTTAACATTAGAACTATGTAAAGAGTCTCTATTTTGCTTTGTTTCACTGTGGATATTATGTTTTATATTTTGAAAATAACACTTTTTAAGGGTTGCCAAATAAAATATAGGGACTGTTTTCGTTTTTGCTAATTAAGGCCACTCTATTTATGTTATTCATCTTTATAGCTTCAAAATCTAGGCAAATCCCAGGGCTTAGTAGCTCCTCCACAAGTGTTAGTAAGAAGAAAAAGAGAATATATTAACGGAGGCAGAAACATTTGGACTTCATTAGCTTTGTGATCAAATGTACTTTAAAATGTGTATTATTAAAAAAAAACTTATACACTGATTGTTTTATTTTATAGGTTCCTGTCCAGCAGGTTCTAATAAAATCCATCTAAATTAAATGGGCTGAAGTTTCATAATCGCTGTCTTAATTTGGGACTTGTTTCTTTGTACAAATTTTAATACTATTTGATGTGCTTAATATCTTTAAGCTAGAAGTAGTATTCTAAAAAGATAGTATCACACATTTTATTAGATTTCCCTCAAATAATTGAAATAAATCATGTTATAAAGTATTTTCATAAGTAATAATTAAAACTGCACATTTACCGGAAATCAAGCAACTACTTCATTTTTAAGTGTAGGCCAAAGTAACATAAAGTGATAGAAAGGGTTATTTTCTTTTAAAAATGTGTCAAATGCATTTGGAATTAAGTCGTCAGTTACCTTCTGTTTGTGGAAGGGGGTCTTGCATGATTTTCTGATAACATTCGTACTGAGCCGTCATGATTTTATTTCGCGTCACCCTCAAGTGCATGGTGTCATTAGGGTGTTCTTCGGGTTCTGCTGTGGTGAGACCCTAAGAGATGAAAACAACTTCAGAACTGAGCAAATACCTTTGCCAGAGGCTCTGTCATCGTGGAAAACAGCAAATGCGTGGGTACGCATGGGAAACTTAGTCCTCAGAAGAAAACCCCCATTTGTGACTCCCACCGTATTTGGTTCAAACGGCCACGTAAACGTTGCCCATGGCAGAGCTGGGAAGCACAGCTAGCGCTCATGAGCCTCCCATGTTGCATTTGGCTTCCAGACAACCTAAATATGCATCCTGAAATACACACAGAGCTCTGCTCCAAATCTCCTCGATGCTTTGGCCTGCTCTGTAAGTGCGGGCAAGATGCTTTCCCCCTATCCAGAAGCCTGTGCTTTTTTACTGTGAAATGGTATACAGTACTATCAAGGTAACTAGTACATGGGAAATGCTAAAAACTCACGCAAACTGTTACCATACTTTGGTAATTAAAATAGTGGCAAGTTAATTTATACTATTGGTACATAGAGCTTTCACTGAGTGTACCTCAATAAAGGGTTAAACAGGTTGTAAGCAAATATATTCTGATTTTGTAGCAATAGTTTGTTTCAGTTCTTCTTTAATATTTACCTTAGTGCCACGCTGAATGATACTAAGCTAGTATAAAAGACTTTCAACGCATTTCTCACATTATTTCTCTTTGTCATCCCCAATAGGCAGTTATCTTTCTATTTTTTTGTCCTCTCATTCTTGATTTTCTGTTTTCTAGCAGGGAGTTAAAATGAGTAAAATCAAAATAATGACATTCTTCCCTGTATTTCCACCATCACCCCATCACCGTTACACATGAACTCTTTTACACTTTGGTTTTAATCTCCTAAAACAGATTTCTGTTGCAGATGGCTGCTATCCAAGTAATGACTGGGTATTTAGAATATTAACCGAGACAATATTTTTAGGAGATTCACTGTTTGTTTTTTGCAGTGCTGGAGATCTTACTCGTGAATGCTAGGCAGGTGCGCAACCACTGAGCTTGGCCTGGTGGGTCAAAGTTATGCACAGAGGAGAAAGGAGTCCTGCCACCCAGATTCCGTATACTCAGAGATAACTTCTCAGATGTGCCGGATTTGGCCTGCTCCTAGCCTTGAAAATGTTCAAAATGCAGAGGCTGACAGGAATGAAATTTCTCCCCCGGCTTGGGTTTTCTGCATCGATCCTGAGCCTCTTTGTTTGAGTCTTCATAGGGTTTGCTTAGAAGCATCACAGGAAAATTCTTTGTTGGCACAGAATTAGGGGAGATTATGTCTGTTTCCCATACATATAATGATATAGGGGCACAGTCAGTGTTTTCACTTGAAGCAGAGAAAAATATGAATAAAACATTTCAGTAAATAAAAATTAATTACAAAAAGCATCTGACTCCTTTAGGAAAGCAATAGATCACCTTTGAGCTGCCCTTTACCTCTTTCTCACATTCCTGGCACATACATGTGGAGGTGTGCATGAGTGTACACGTACACAGGCACAGGGCACACAATACACACACACACACACACACACACACCTGCCCCGAATTAACATCAATGTCTACTTATTGAATAACTACATGAGAAAATTAATTCAAAACACATTGCATGATTCCAAATCACCTTTCAATCAATATATATCAATCCGTTGGTGCAAAGAAAGAAAAAAGTCAGTGAACTGGTAGTGTTATCTTAAAAAATTTAACTCAGAATCTACAAGGCTGATTAAAAATATTTCATTTACTATGTACAACTATGTATGCAGAGCCTTCCAAGATTTTCAGGCTCTGGACATTTTCCCTGGTGTTTTCCACATCTGTACCCTCTGTTCCTCCCCAGTCTGACTTTCCTTAGGCTCCTTCCCCAGTCAGTACACGAACACACACACACCGAAAAGGGTGAAGCATCGCTGTGCTGATTGGATGTTTATACAATTATGCATCCGTGTCTGCTTTACTTTTGTCATTATTAACCTTTATCGATTACAGGGAAGTAAACTAGAAATATTAAGTATGGACATAAATCAGAGGGATTTATACCCACCATTAAAAATGGAAGGAGAAACAGAAAATACAGGATACACTTCTTCTCCATCATTACAGCCCAAATAAAATGTCAGTAAATCAAACTGCAATGTAAAATGAAAGAAATAAAATATTTTATCAATATTTATGGAATAAATGGAGATAGTTCTTAAAAGAAAATTTTCTCTATAGCTACATAATTTTATTTCAAAGTTAATAATGTTGTATATTACAAACATTCCAGTTTATCAAAGATTAAAGTACTAAAGAGATTTAAAATGTTTGGGATTAATTAAATTAGACTAATTTTAGACAAACTTCTTTCATGTATACTTTTAAGTAGTTCAAAAACAACCTTACCTTTTTGTCTTTATTGAAATTGTGATAAAATGATTAGAGTATTAAAATTGAAAGCTTTAACTGAATATCACAACACAAATTTTGATAACATATTTTATTGTTAAAGTTGATCTCTACTTTCTCTAAGAGATTCTAAGCTGGTTTGTATTCTTGGGGCGGCTTCTAGTGAATCAACACATCTACGTCATTAAAGTGTTTTTATAATTTAATAGAAATAATTTTTTCACAACAGAAAATTCTTTTTTAATCAAGAAATAAATGCTGCCATAACCCATTGACATTATTTATATAAGGTCACAGGAAATGGGAAGTATCACATCAAGTATTTCTGGTGATAAGCACCATCGGAGCTCATCAACAGCACCATCTTGATTCTAAGAGACAAACCCTGCTGGGTCACAGTTCCTACTGTTTACTTTCTATAAGTCCAGGAGCAACTTCTGTGAATTGCCATGAAATATCCGTAGACTCTAAGGCTCCTTTAATTGAATATGAAAAAAATGCTTTTCAGAAGCAACAAAAAAAATCGTCAATAGATATTTGACGCTGAATTCTAAATGCAGATTTGATTCTCTTAGGCAACTTAGTCATGATTTTTATTATTAGGCTATTGTCCAAACAAGAATTGTCAAGCCTTTTTTCATGTGGTGCATTTTATTGCTTTTACCCCATGCAAGAAGAGCACAGAACTGACTAGCACACGGAGCCTCTGCCATGCTCCCCCTCACCAAGACTCACCTAGAAGCAGCTGTAGAAATCTTCTGGCTATGGTTTTCTCTTCTCTTAGCTACCTTGGATTTTTATTATTAGGTGATCTTAGAAAGAACATAACAGAAAAATCAGGAAGCATTGTATTCATCTTAAATATTAAAAATAAGATTGTAACAGATAAAATTAAGAATCAAAGTTTCTGTAACTCAATAATTAATGACTTGATGTTTCAGGTTTTATTACATTTTGCCATGAAAAGATCTAATTTCCCAGCACTTACATGCACGATTGTCTCCAGACTCAAATCACATTTTCTCTTGGGTCATATCTGACATTGTCTTGAAGAATTTCTTAAAATCAGGGGTCATGACCTAAAATGTTGATAGATTATATAATAATTTAATGTTATGTTAATGATACAATTTATTTCCATGTATACACTACTAATTGTGGCATTTTATTGAGCTACTTTACTTTTTAAGATCTCTTGTTTACAATATAGTTAATAGCATATTTGCTGCATGTTTGAATACAAATCATAGATATATAATATGAATGCATTTTGCCTAGAAATTTATATATTTTCTATGAGTAAATGATTTTAAAAGAGTGATTTTGCTATTTTTGCACACAAATAATTACTGAATATTAGCACCTGCAGTATTCCTTTTTCCACAGGAATGTGAAAATATTGTTTTCAGGCATTTATCACCTAGGGAAATATATATCTAAATTTATTGCATCTGTAGCCATGTAATAATAAATCATATTACCTTTAAAAATAAATTTTGTGGAGAGCGTAATTATCATCCAGAATTAATAGAAAGGCCAAAGAATAGAAGACTTGTTGTTTTATTTTAGATTTTTGTTTCTTTTGCATACATTTTTATGAGAGTAAGTGCAGATATGGTATTACTCTAAAATGCTCCTTATCATGTTTCTGATAACTTACTGGGAATTTGTGTTGAAAGGTGAAAAATTAAAGAATTTAAGATTCATAATTAAAGTTCACTCTTAAATACAGGTTTTCACCCTGAGCGCGGGAACGACAGTGGATGGCACAGGTTGAATTGTAGGCTGTGTCGGGGAGCCTGGGAAATTTCTAACTTCTGATCTACTTTCACTCAGGCTCCTAATTCCCATGTGGCAGAACCTGATGAAATGCCGTTTTCCACCGTTGTTGTTAGAGTAACGGTTTTCATTGCTGTACTTGTTGGGATGTTATATCAAAAGTAACTCACTGAACTGAATTTGGAACGTATAAAGATTAAGGCTAATTTAAAACATTGGTAGTTCATACGTAAAACATTGACATTTCATGTTTTTCTGTATAAAATGTGTATATATTTACATATATAAATAACAACATAAATATTCTTCTATTTGGAAATCAGATCAGTTCTGCAAAACAATGCTTTGATGATTTTCACAACACAGGAGTCCATTACCTTTAATATGTACATGGTTTCAAAAATATTGAAGGGGAAAGTGCCTTAAATGTCACGTTTGGAAGGTTCCCAAACCCGGCAGAGTTGAGAAACACCCTACCCAACATTTCTGCCATTTTTATTGCTTGTCTGTTAGATGTGAAATCCAGAGTTGCAAATAGTATCTCAGTGAACTGGGTCTTACGGGTTAGTACATCATCCTAGCACCAGTTATTGAAAAGGAGTTTATTCAACCCACAAAATACTTATCAATGCAAGAAATATGATTCCTTCTTTTATTCCCCAGTGATCTGGAAAACGTCATATTTTGTGCTATGCACTACCTTCTAATTGATAGGGCAAGCTTAGAGCTTGGGGTTTCTCAAGGCTGGAGTCGCAAGGTTAAGTGGTAGATACTCAAACACACGATGGTTATCTACACTGTCCAAGAAATCCAGCAATGTCTAATTTATTGGGTGATTCAGTTTACTTGCTTCACCTACTCTACATGGCACCTAACAAAGTTCTCCACCAGCATATACACACAGTGTGAGTGGCACTTATGGAGGAATCGCCCTTTCACCAAATGTTCTTTGAATCCAAGATGGAAAGATCATGACTGGATCTGAATTAATGCCGTTGCAAGAAGAGCTAAAAGTCAACTTAGACTAATATTGGTAAATGTAATGGCAAGACTGTCCTCAGGAGAAGTACGTCTAGCTGTCTGCCTTGGCTTAACCTACTGGATCTTTACAAACGTTCTCTAAGTGGCTCATTTGCAAATAGTTCTCTCTTCCGCATTTAGTTTATTCCAAACTGAGTGTGTTAAAATACATTTGATATTAACTGGTTAAAGCTCTTAAGCAAATCATTTTCATTATCCTTCAGAATTTAATGTATTTATTGACAACAGAGAATTACGCTATGAAATACTGTTGTGCTCTTTTAGTTTGGTGGGGGAGAGACCAAGTAAATAATGGAAGGAGGTTAAGTGATGTGATTAGTATGATAAAGTTTGTTTAGTAGGAAAAAGACATTCAGAGATGAGAAAACTCTGATTTATACACTTAAGTAAAATAGTAATCAGTGGTAGTAGTTATGAACACTTTCTCTTACTAGTTGATAGTCTCATGAGGCCTGTAAGTATTATTTTATATTACCTTCTCAAAATTAAACAAAGTGAGGATTTGCTTCTACTACTAGAAATGAAATAATTACTGTACAAATAAAATAAAATATACTTTTATTTCCAAATACTTTCCTGACATACCCCAAAACTTCAATATTAAAATTTTTACAGGCTTTATCTCATCACAGAAAGAACTTTCAGAAATGAACACTGTCTTAAAAACTCAAGTAAGTTTTGAAATATAGTTGACTAGGATTAGAAGTAAAAACCAATGGTATAGCACATAGCATGAGCAAAATCCTGAGTTCAGTTCCCCAGCAACACACAAACAAGTACATGCACTGTGCACATGTGTGTGCATGCACACACACGCTCACACACACACACACACACTCACCAAAGTTACTTGAAATATAGCTGCCTAGTCACTGAGGATTATTCCATTTGCCATGTGGTTTCATTTCCTAAAACCATCAAAGATTCACCCTACAGGACAATTTTTCATTCATCTATATTTTAATTTCATAAATTTAAGAGGACTAACTTATTGGTTTACTGCAGTACAAAAACATTAGCCTGTCACTTCTTTCTCTGTTGAAAATAAAGACATTTAGTAACCTGCAATGATAATTATAGCAATGACAATGTTCATTCTACATAAAATTAGAATCTTGTTGGTACACCGAAAGATGAAACCTCACAACCTATGGCATAAAGCCTACTTTATGAACATGCTTATTGTTTTCTCAAAAATTTATCATTCCTTTATGTACTTTCTATCATTTATTTTTCTTTGTAATAATTTTTTTTTGAGTTGAGTCACCTCACCCTAATATTCAGTGTATGTTCTCTCCTCAATTGAGAGAAAAATAACTTCCCTCTACTTCTCCATTTCTAAAATACAGATATTCCTGTTTTAATGACCTAGCTATTTAACAAGTGTTCAAACTTACAACTTGGGCACGCTGTTCAGACTTAAGACCCACCCCTTGGACTTATGATGTATCATTTTTATGCACAGTTATATACATCTTGTTATATAGCCTCAATGTCTTTTTTGTACAGTATACCTTGTTTCTACAATACTGCAATTTGTGCTGACTATACTGTACAGTATAGCACTGTAGTTTCAGGCGCTATTATACACTATAGTACTGTGAGTTATGCAAATAAAAGCAAAGTCATAAAGTTGAAGTTTCCTTTGACCATTTCTTTGTTCTGAATATCATTATTTACAGACTATTGTACATATAATTTCTCATTGAGCAACCAATTCATTTAATAACCTAGTTGCAGGCTTGGAAATCAGTCATCACATGAGGCATGTCTCTTAGAATTTTGTAGGCTTGAAACAGTATTATTTATTTCCAATTATTTATCCAGTTAATATCAGTTTGGCCAACAAACACATTTCCTACAGAAGCAATACTTAGTCTGCCATAAAGTGTGCAGAATCTATGAAAGACCAAAGATGAGCTGGGTCCTCTCCAGTATGTTCCTTTGCATATTAAACAAGCTACATTTCTCCTGAATCAGAGGATAAGCACTCTGCTCTAATCTCCCTATCCCACACCTGCATGGCAAACGGAAACTTTTTTCTGTCATTCTACACCATCTACTATAGGTTGTATTACTGCAGAAAATTTCACAGCACAAGAACCAGATTATCTTTTATTTTATCCTCCCTGCCTTTTTCTGGAAAAATCTGTATCACTGTGCTTTAATTATCATTGCAAGTTACTAATTGTCTTTACTTCCAACACAGAAAGAAATGACATCCTAAGGTTTTAAAGTCCTCCCCGCCCCTCAAATCTGGCTTGGAAAGTCCCTCACATTCTCAAGAAAACTAAAATATTAAGAGGCTTTTCTTCCTAAACATGTGTCACTGATATAAGAAACCAAATGGTTCATCCTTTTAAAAGTGATGTCTGGGGCTGACATTGATTTTTAGGCTAAACCAGGGCTCCTCAGAGTGTAGATACCTGGACTAGAATCAGTGCCCAAGCTTCCTGAAGGTGGTAAAATGTCAGAACCTACAAGAAATGAATGAGAATCTTAGGAAGAAAAATTTAGGAATCTATCTTTTTATTAAATACTCGAGAAAATTCTTGGCCTGTCCAACTTGGAGAAGTATGATGTGAACACATCATTCTCAACGGGCCGTGCCAAAGCCTGTGTACACTTACAATTCTTTGTTCTCAGCACTGGCCAGACATTCTACAAAAGAAATATCAAGTATAATGTCAGCAAAATATTCTAAAATGTTCCCAGGAATAATTCATATCCCAGATCTTCCCAGAGAAAGTTATTCAACTGTCCACTTGAAAACACATCAAAGCCCTATTACTGCCATTTCCTTTGTCTATTTGCTCCAGCAGATGAGGAGCACAGTAAGAATAAGTAAGGGTGGACATATGGTCCATCTCTGTGGCTTTGCATCATAACAAAGTGGCCATATTAAGAGAGCACAAGGAAAGTGGTTTTTAAATACAGTAATCACCAAAATTACTCACAAAATCAATCTATTTGTGCAAGAATGACTTTTTTTTAGGTATTCTTAACACTGCAACACATATTATGGCTTTCTGAGTCATTAAGGACATTATTGCCTAGATTTTACTTCAGGAATTTCTGATGCATTTCATTTTGATTGGTGTCCAGCGATAAGCAATTTTTCAAGTTTCTTTGGTGAGTTCAGTCTAGAGTTGGCTTAGGAGGTGGAGGTATACCTCAGGGGAAGAGTGTTTGCCTAGCATGCACAAGGCCCAGAGTTCAATCCCTAGTACCACTGAAACCAAACCAATAACACGAAGAT